TCGTCGAGGTTGCTGTTCCCTCAGGCTTCTTTTTCAGATTCTAGCACTCCGAAACCTGTTGCCTCGGCCGTCGAGACATCTTTCTCTGAGGCGATGATCGTCTCTTCAGCCTTTTTGGCTGCAGCTCGAGCTCGTGCCACCTTCGCGAACTTCCTATACTCGATTTTGCGGATCCACGTGAGCAGCTCTTTGGTCACCGGTTCAGAATTTCCGGGTCTTGCTTGGCAGTCCCGGGAATCCGATCGGTGGGCCCCCCACAGATGTGATACTTGGTAAGGGCCTTGCACTCGGAAGCTGAGTGCATGTTAGAGCCATAGTTCCAGCAGGCTGGAGCGCCGGAGCAATCACGAGTGGCATGGAAGCCCAAATAGCATCTGCACTGTTCGATTTGTCGATGAGGCGGAAGCCAGCATGATGGATAGGATTCTGCTGGAAAAGGGCATGCCAGTTTCCATGCGGTGCTCCAGGCCGACACGTCCCATGAAGTTGGATCTGAAAGGGAACTGATTTTGTCACCCGTGTCACGGATCAAGGAACAGGCGCTGGTGCAACTATGTGGTCGATAGTATGTAAATTATCATTCTGAAGAGAGAACTACTTCAGACTCTATCTATACATATATATATCTGCATTGTCTATGTGTTTAAGGCATAGTCCCTCCGTCTCTGATCCAATGAGATTCTTCACATGTGTTGACCCTACTTGTTGTAACACCTCAATGTGTTGTAGCTGTATGGTCCAATACTGCTGCCCTACCAAACTAGACGCCGATGCCTTGATATTCCGTTGAGTGGCATCATATATCCGCGCATTGATGTCGATCAATCGTGCGCTACCAATGTTAAGCTAGGCTCATGTTGACCAACATGCGCTACAGGGACCAATCGGCTTACCAGCCGTTACAACCCGCCTGACTTCATCAGCAACCATCTTTGCCGTCACGGCGATGTTGCCAGCAAGCGTGTTGATTGTCTCCGGTACGGTGGCAATTTGCATGGAAACCAGATTTGATGCTGGTTCCAGTTTTATTCCAGATTTACTCCGTGCTGTGGAGGAATCTAGCAGCTCTTTCCGAGCGATTTCATCCTTCGCAGTGAGTGCAAAGCCTGTCTTTACCCGCTGGATCAACGTGATATTGTTGGCAGCGGTTCCCAGCGCCTGAGACATCGCTAGCCTTACGCCAGCTGGAGAGAGGAGACGGTTGGGATGGAAATAGTCAAGGCGTAGAAAAATTAGTGAATCGACTTTTTCACTCGAGTTGGCACTTTTTGCTTTCTGGGCGGGCGTTGCTGCCTTTTTTGTCGATGGCCCAGCGCTGCTGACTAGGCCTGCCCGAGTTACGGTGGCCCAAGTTATCTTTGGTGCTGGAGCCTGTGTTTTCGTAGGGTAAGGTACCCTAATTTCTGGAGCCCTCGGTGAGAGAGGGTTGGCGGGGCGAGTAGGAAGGACTGGTGGTATGCTTCCTGGACCGCATTTAACATACTGGCCAATGGCTGCTCGTAGGTAGAATTTTATACCGTCTATGAATTCTTTATAATCGCCGATCGAAAGAGGCGAAAGTGCTGCTTCAACACTGTTTATCGCAGTCGAGCAGATGGCGAGGCGGGCCGTAATTTTGCGTCGTACGTCGCTTTTCGGCCTCCATCACGGTTTGCAGCTCCGGAGGAAACTCCATTGCTGATGTCGATGCTGCGCCTTTTGAGGCTGGCACAGAGAATTTTCGTGTAGAGGTCTCCGCAGGTTCTATCGTCTTGTCTCTGACGACTTCCTTACCTCACCTTGAGCTGCTCGCTACTGGGGCTAGCTCGACTGGATTCATGGTCTTTAGACCATTGTTTTCTGTTCTGATGGGCTCAGAAAAAGTCATCTCTAGATCGGAAGATTTGTGGTCTTCCCTGTGATGAAGGTCTCACTCGCAAACAAGCTTGATAAATCTTGCGCGAGGCCAGTTGGTTTTAGACACTCTTGTGTCCGTTCAAAGCCGGTCGAAATCGTCGACTTTGGTCGTTTGCACTTCATCGGAGGCATTTTTGGACGCCTATCGATGGTCGTCAATTGGAGAATCCAAGCACAGGAATTGTCATAGATAGGTAAAAGGGAAATAAAGGAAAAAAAAGGGAATTTACGAATTGTGCGTTTTTTGTTAGTTTACGTGCTAGGTTACATGACTACCGAGGGAGACTATTCTCAGCACCTGTCAGTGGCATCCCCTACGAATCTCCAGCTCTCACTGTAGGGTCTGCAGAGCCGAGATTGAGTAACAAAGTCCTCACTTCGACGAGGATTCCCAATCGCTTGCGCGGTCTGTATCGTCTTCATCCCTCAACATATCCCCCTATCACCATTATCATGAAGCCAAGCACGATCAGATCAGATCAGATGATAGGGTCGGAGCCCTACTCATAACTAACCCTTGATCATGGAGGAAAAGCCATCCGATGGGTTTCCGGAGCGTACCCAGCACCCCTCCTCCGCCGAGGGCTCTTGAAAAAAGGGTACTTAACCCACCGACTATCCAGGCTCCGGCCCCAAAGACAACTTGGGCGAATGTAGCCCGAGCAGGATTTGGCCACAACATTGGGCCATCGACAAAAAAGGCAGCCCCGCCCGCTCCAAAAGCAAAGGGTGCCAATACGAGGACAGCGGTCGATACGCGACTGTTTCTACGCCTCGATTTCGACCACCCCCACCGACTTCTAGCACCAGCTGGCGTAAGATCAGCTGTCTCAGAGGCACTCGGTACCGCAGCCAACAACATCACGTTGGTTCAGCGGGTCAAAACAGGCTTTACTCTAACAGCAAAGGATGAAATCGCTCGGAAAGAGCTTCTTGATTCCTTCGTAGAACGGAGAGAATCAGGAATTAAATTGGAACCAGCGTCAAATCAGGTTGCCCTACTAATTGCCACCGTCCCGCTGAGAATTAATACACTCACAGGTTCCGTTTTCATCACGGAAAAGATGGTCGCCGACGAAGTCACGCGAGTGACCAAATCAGTTCCTTTTCTTGTTCGTCCTCATGGGACGAGCAAACCCGGGGCGCCATACCAGAACTGGCATGCGCTCTTCCCTCGTGAATCCACGCCCCGACCTGGATTTCGCCTCTTCGATGACTCCGGAGCTGCAAAGCTCTTCCAACCTCGTCGAAAAATAGTTCAGTGTAATCGATGTCTTGGCTTCCATGCCTCACGCGGCTGCTCCCGCGCTCCGGCTTGCTGGAACTGCGGATCAAAAATGCATTCTGAAACGGATTGCAAAGCCCCCACACGGTGTCGAAACTGTGGGTGACCTCATCGATCGGACTCGCGGTACTGCAAAGCCAGACCCAGCAAGTTCGGCCTGGTGAAAAAAGAGCAGCTTGCGATGATCCGCATGGTCGAGCAGAAAAATCACGCAGATTTTACTCGCATCAGAGCTGCAGCCGAAATAGCCATTCAGGCAATTTACGGCGCGAAGAACGACGTCTACATGTCAGACGGATCTGGTTTTGGGATTCTAGGATCCGAAGAGGAGGTTTAAGGTTGCGGCCAGCCTTAGTGAAGTCGTCAAGGCTTCAACACACTAACAGTAGGACACCAGATAGAAAAAGGGTGCCTGCGAGCTCATCTTCTGCTCTCAGCGAAGGTCAGAAAGTGTCACTTGGAAGATGTGACAGGAAATGGAACGGGCGAGAAGCGCGGGATCCGGACCTACAGGGATTTCTTCTAAATTTGATTTTTGGTTTTGATTTTAGTTTTGCTGTTAACACCACCATTTATGTGGAAGTTCACGCGGTTGGAATGAGTTGGGCCTGTATACAGTGATCCTTACCGGCTCCGCCGGTCCTGTACCAATAGTAGGATGTAGAGCTTTTTACTTTAGCTCAGGACTTTAAAAATACAACAACACTGGAAGGTGAAGAATTCGTCTCTGCAGGCAATCAAAATTATATTAAAGTTCTAGGGGGTACCTGGAATGATAGAAGTGAACGTTGACCGTCAAGTCAATACTGTACGAATCGTAAGATATTGGGGATTTAAGGATCAGAGATAAAAGGTTAGGATCAGTGAGGTTTTGGTTTTACTGACCTTATATTTCGGTAATTAAAAGTGTTAGTGTTTAATCTACATCTAATTGTCTATATATGTTCTACCTCGCTTAGGTAGAAACATTGTGTTCTGATTACGTGATGGAATAACATTCACACCACCGAGATCATCACCAACCGAGACCTCACAAAAGCTGGTAGCGATCGAAGATGAGTAGTCTTCGTCTACTCCGCACTACGTGCAGTTCGGTCTCGCATGTCTAGATTTCAACAAATCAGTAGGGCTTTTGCCCCACCTGGGGCCAGGAAAATGATAGGGGAGAAGGGATGGCAGAAGTTTATCAAATTCTTTAACCACAAGCAGATGTTATAGTCTGACGAAGAATAAGCAAAGTGGGAGGTGACCATGCTGAGCTTGTTTTCGTTTTGATAGATGGGTGTGGAAGATAGGGATACGGCGCAGGGCACCGCAACTCAGACATATACTGTTCATTTTTTTTTCTTTTATTTTGTCGCTTCTGGCTCCACTGCCAGTCATGTAGGTAGCGATGAACATTCAGAGCCCATGTATCCGTGCCGTATCTAAATAGATGTCGGGTCCTTCCTGTCACGTAAATGATTTCAAATAAAATCAAATCATTGGGGCTAACTAGTAAATATTTACAACGAAATATCGTGTCACACGTATCTTTCTTTAAATATTTTACCCGAGTAATTAAATTAATAAATTTGTCGACAAATTTTGATGACTAATACGATAGTGTACATCGTAGATTTATGTAATTTATACACTATAAATAGGAGGATAAAAAGTTTAAGGTTATATATACTGTACGCAAGTTTTCGTGATAGTTTCGCCCCAAAATGCCACATTCAGCTGGATGGAAATTCTAGGTAAATCTTGATTATATGATTCCGACGAGGATCTAATTTAAACGAAGGTTTCGGAACGAGTGAGAAATCAATAACTGACTTTATGAACTTTTGCTACTGAAATCGCTGGCCTGTAAATTTCTAGTCATTGATGGTAGCCTAACTCGAAGGCCATCCAGTTCCTTTGTCAATTCAATTTGGCATCCTAATCTTGAAGTTTCGGTAAGGCCAAATGCTAAATCTAGCATATCATTTTCCTCATCTGTTGCTTCCGGAATTTTGTCGAAAAACTCTTCATTCTCAACAATTATATGGCATGTTGAGCAAGAACAAGAACCTTCGCAGGCGCCTACTCTAGTATCAGATAAGGGTCTCTGTATTTTGATAAGTCAAGAAACTCACCCTCCATTTCTACATCGTTTGACTGTGCGATAGACAGAAGGTTTTCACCTTTTCTAGCGGCGATTCGCTGCTCGTTTCCCTCTTTATCAATAAATGTAACATGAATAGACCTAATAAGCTATTAGTTCTTCTAGTGTAAGACTCTCGAGTGATGCACACTCTTCATCGGGGCCCGGCGTCTTTAAACGGATATGGAAGCTTGATGTTGTTGTAGTAAAGTTCTGTTTATGTAATTTCTGGACGTGAGGGTGCAATCTACAGCCTATTGGAGAAATAATAGGTTTTCCTAGAGTTGAACTTGGTGATTTGACCATAGAGCTTGAAGAAAGGCATTTTCGACCAAATCCTAGATTTTTGGGAGTTTGCCGACAAAGGCGCTGGAAAATTGATATTGAAACCGGCATAGATACTACTCAACTATTTGATGCGGGATTTGCTTTAGTTCTCCAAATCTTGGCCTTAGGAAGCTATATTCTCTTCTTGAACTGGTTTGTGGTTTGGCTTCGTTGGGCAGAGAAATTAGTCTTACAGCCTACGGAGGCTATTGAGGCTTTTCCCTCTTCAACTTTCAGTTCTATTGATCAGGATAAGGCTGAGATTTCAAGACCTGTAGTTTACGCAGGGTGCATATTTGTTAGTAACTGTTTCGGGTCTTCACTGCCCCTGCTAACCTCCCGGCAAATAGTGGTTCCTTGCATCATTGGCGCGATATTTTGAAATCTAAGTGCAAGTCGTGATCTGTTAATAAGTTTAGGTGATCATCACCCTAAGACGATGTCAACTCAAGAGCCACCAAACCCTCTCCGACCATATTACAGACCGCCTTCTATCGGGATTTCACAACCTTCTCCTGTGACTACACTGACAACTCACGGATTAGGACCCAATAATGGTAACGCTTCCTCATACGCTTCCTCAGCCAGAGATATCTTCTCCGAAATTGATTACAAAGATTACTTATCTAAATCCTCACCATCATCGCTCGAATCGATTAAATACCAGGTTGATGAGTGGCTTTACAGATATGTGGGAACCTTATTCGCACAACCGTTCGATGTAGCGAAGATAATTTTACAGGCAAGGTGTCACGACTCAGAGGATAAGAGGAAATCGCTGAATGAGAATTTATGCCCACACAGGGCTACTATCAGGGAGCCTATCACCAGTAATGTGCATTAAAGAGCTCTACAACAGGAAATAATTACTGAAATACCCATAGTATCTGTCTGATGACTCAGATCTGGATGAACCATCATATTTTACAACTGCCGCCCCCATACCAATCGATGAAAGGTCCTCAAAAAACAGAAATCGAGGCGTTACAAATCCTAAGCCTAGCCCACCTCCATCATACCAACTTGCATTAAAAACAACAGGCTCGGTTCTTGAAGTTATCTCTCAAGAGTGGGCAAAGGAAGGTGCCCGGGGAGTATGGAAAGGGTCAAATATTACCTTTGTTCACGGTATATTATTCGACACCTTAGAAAAATGGTTAAGAGGTTTAATGTCAGCTATCCTAAACTTGCCAGAGACTGGTCTTAGCTCTGGGCTAGAAATCCCTGCCGAATTTTCCGGACTACTCTATCCATACACATCCCTTGCTCTATCGCTTTCCGCGGGAGTCATGGCGGGAGTCATCCTGGCCCCAATAGATCTTATACGAACCAAGTAGAACAGCCTAAAGATTTTCTCTTAATATCTAACTGATTTATTTTAGAGTCATGCTGACACCTACGTCCGTCACTAAACGCTCGCTTGTGAGCCAGTTCCGGATGTTAAATTCATACCTCTGTCCGTCAGCTCTTCTTATCCCAACGATATTGCACTCTCTTGTCACACCAGCTATTGTGTATTCTACACCAACTTTTTTAAGGTCACATCTGTCGATCGACCCACTATTAACACCTAGCTCGTACCAAATAGCTCGACTAGTATCTCGTATGCTCGAACTATGTATTAAACTACCCATGGAAATAGTTCTAAGACGAGCTCAAATATCATTTATAAAGAAAGGGCAAGGGTGGAGTAATATTCAGGGAAGTCAGAGCAACCATATCTCCACTACAGTTCCGGTAGGAGATTATAGAGGAGTTTTTGGCACAATGTGGCTTATCGTCAATGAGGAAGGAACAAGAGAATTATCAATATCAGGAGACCGAAATAAAAAAACTAAGATTATAAGGGGACAAGGGCTTTCAGGATTGTGGCGAGGTTGGAGAGTAGGCATGTGGGGCATCGTTGGGTTATGGGGTGCAAGAATTCTTAATGGTAGTAATGGGAACATTGGCGAATTTTAACGAACGAATTTCCTGAATGACTTCATCTGAACATGAACAAATCACCATTGAAAGGTGTGGGACCACGACGCTGACCATAGAAGGTACTTTTAAAAAAAATGAGTGACTTTACGAGCAATTTAAAATTTATTCTACATCGAACAAAAACATTTTACATAAGTTTTGCAACCATTTTTGGCCTAGAGTCGGAGTGTTAATTAACCGTTAACTAATGAGAATTAGGATACATTCTACGTATCAAATGATATCACCTCTCGAAAAGTTTATGATTAGGTTAGTCAGACTTCGTAAGCTCATCAACTGATAGCAAAGCAGAATCGTGCAGCAGTTTTTTAAATGCCGCTTGTGATCAATTAAGATGAAAACCACTTTTAAATACCATGCGGCGTTTTATTAGATGTCAGCATTGTGAAATAGATTTCTCATTTGAGCGTACAACCGTCGCCCCAACATAATCCGTATCCATCATCTGAACTAGATGACAGGCTAAGAAGTCCTCCAGCATATGAGAAGATGGCAGTGACTTTTATCAATCCAATTCCAGGTATTTATTCGGATTTCCATCTCTTTGTATGGGGCAGCTGATATGTTGAGGAATGAAAAGAGAATGGTGAGCCTCTAAGCTTTATTTTTGGGCTTCTTACGTACAAGAGCGTCGTTGAGAGTACTTACGCATGTTTTAGAGGCCATAGATGGGACCTGAGTTTCTTTTGTGCCAGTAAATTTCTGGCCCCACTCAGCCTCAGTTTCAGGTCGAGCAGCATAGCGAACTTCATTTATCCATCGCTTGGAACTTGATACAGCGCGCTCGATGTTGGAAAAGTCAAGATTCAACAGATGATCAACCAGACGCTTATAGTCTGAGTCGTCAACAACCACCTGCCCATAGATTTTTGTCTCGCTAGGGGAAGGGGCTCTAGCCTCAATACGTTTAATAGCGCAATTTTTGCTTTGTGCAAGAGGATTTCTAGGTGTTATTCGTCCTGAAAGTCTTTTCCCTTCAACTTTTCGCTGTTTTAATTGCCCAATAGGCGTTTGATTCTCGATATTTGAAAATTTTCTTTTCTTTTTGTCGTTGGGATGATTGATATTCTTTGTAGGAGGTTTTGACGTCATGAAGATACTGTCTTTTAGATCGTAACAACTTGGCTGTGATGGTTCTCTAATATCGGAGCAATGACTAAAAACTCCATCCTCTAAAGGGACGCTATTGTGACAATCCATAACTCCAGTTTCTGGGTAATGAGAATCTGGTTGGAAAACAATCCACATGAACCCCACTAGCCTTCCAGCAGAGCATTCTTGTCTGTAGGCCATCATTTCCCAGAATTGATCGACCGAGTGGATACTTTTCCATTGACAGTTTGAGCCATTGCCTTTAAGAATTTCTTCGTCTAATTCATCGATGTATCTTGCCTTAGGATCATCAGGAAAATGTGGTATTAGACACCTGGGCGGTACAGGGCCTTGGAACCTGGATATTTGGACCAAAGGGTGCCCAACCTCCCACGCCTTACTCGAATTCTTCGGGATAAATGCTTGACTCTCGTGAGAATCAAGTCCTGGGACTAGGAGATATCCTCTCACGGAATTCCAAGGTTGAATAGTGTCTGTTTTAGTTTTGTCTATTAGTAGATTCAGTGTGCAGCACCACCAACGAATTAAGTTACGGTCATCTAGGACGTGCTTAAGTTTATTCTCTACACTTCCTGGAAATAAATACTGGTCTTGAGCTCTCGCGAATAAAGAAATAATACTTTTTGTGTGGGGTTTGCGGAGAATATCAACTAAATATTGTAAAATAGTGAAAGTCAGAGTCCGTAACGGCGAGGGTATAGCTGGAGGCAGCTTTAAAAGGCTTAAATAACCGGTAGAATCAACTTTAGAAACAAAGAACGTGTTGTCTCTTGGAGTGGAATAAACGTATATCTCTATCGCGTAAACTAAAACCTCGTTAATCTTTGTTTTTTCTTCATCGGTTGGATAATTTATAGAAGCAGCCAGAAAGTGACATTGAAGATTCGTTCTGTCAAGTCGCTGCCATGGGGGTTCGGGGTATATGGAAGGTACTTTATTTGTTGACGTTGAAAGGTGGTATATGGTCAGGGATAGATCCTTAGGAAGCGCGTTGGTAAGCTGTTGAACCAATGCGGAGGGTGAAGAAGGATTATTCATGTCCGGTAGTATTAGATTCGACGAACGCTGTAGGATCAGCCTGCACCTGGGAATCAAGTCAGGCACGCATACAAAGCAGTTGACCCCGGATCCGGGTTAGCTTACTTGGCACCCGGATGTTGATGATATGACAAAGGAAACCCTTTGTAGCAAAGATCACAGCGACCATTTATTACGTTGTAGAAGATTCCATGGCATCTATATTAACTGTGATACGTCCGGCGCAAAAAATCACCCAAGGAACGAGACCAGTTTGTAGACTAACGAGCTCAATTACCTTCTTTAACACGATACGACGACTATCTTTATCAGTGTCAAGACCACAAGATGGCCTTGCGGAGACAAATGAGCGTCCAAGATGGTCCCACACACCTGAAAGAATGAAGATGCCATACAGAGTTCGACTAGTAGACCCCGAGAAGAAATGGGAATGCAATAGCGATCCAAAGCGATTAGACCACTTTTATATAAAATTGCTCGGCGTCGGGGGTGACAAGTTGCTTCCCGAAGAAGTGAAATGGCTTGCCGTCACACACAAAAGCTTTGAACAAGGAGCTAGAGGATTTAATGACAGGTTGGCCTTTTTTGGTAAGGTGTTCATCCTATATCAGAGTTACTCTTATGAAAGGGCTAATTGGCATTTCGTAGGACGTCGCTTGATAAATCTACAGACAGACTTGGCATTAGTTTCTTCTGAGCCTCCAGAAAAATCTAGTAATCATATGAAAACGCCTGACGGCAGGACCCCATTTAAACACCCGTCTCTTGTCGGATTACCGAACTTGGTCAATATACCCCTGTCTGATGTATTGACAGTAGAGAAAATTGCATCACTAGCAACCTCTATGGGAATGAGAAGTGTAGTCAGATGGCATCCAAGACTGGTTCGTACTTTGCTGGAAATACCCACTGTTCTGAAAATTCTGACTATTAGAGAAAAGATTCGTGACCTTGACGCATCAGGAATAAATGCAATACTTACGACCTCGATATACGCAATATTCGGCGCGTTGGCCTTGCAGAATGGAGGAAAGGTAGCCATAAATCTTGCCAAGGCTCGAGTTCTAAAGCCTCTAGGTATCATATAAAATTTGGATGGAAAAGTGTAACTCGTCAACTAAATTCTATAATTGTTACCGATGCTCGGAGAGATATAAGAAAATAGCCCTGTATATTTTCATTTCATGTTTCGTTACCACTACCAAATTATTGGCTTTGTTGTTAATCTAGGAATTATTTTAAGATATAGCCAAGAAGTATACCTTCAACACACGCCCACAACAGCTATCAATCACTACACTTATCAATCACAACACAAACTCCAGGTAAGCTTATGACAGATACATTCTTAATATTATTGTTATCTTACTACGCCCTAATGTCGTCTAAGGTGAAATTGCAAGACAAAGTAGGTCATATCCCTACAACATGTGAAATCTTGGCTCTCCACACGTTTGGTATATCACATCCACTATAATTTACGCAAGCAAGACTTGAGGACAATGTGAAACTTATGTAGTGAATTTGTTACTTGTTAAACGTAATAAAACGATCTTTGAAAATCATGACGTCACTAGTAAAATGATAGGTTAAGGGTGCAGTGAAGGTCACTGCCTCATATATTTTGGCTTTGTCTAAATACATTTAAGGTGCCGATAATGCTGACCACGCTCCAATAATTAGAATACTCAGTCGCTAACTTGGTTCCCGGCTAGCAGCTAAGACCTGAAAAGTCACAATGTTTCAACTCCGGTCCATAGTTTTATATCATCAGTACTCCGAAATGTGCCTACCCCAATTCGCCACTAGCTCCATTCTCCTGTTCTTTGTGCTGGAAGTCGAAATTTAAAGCTGTCTGAAAGCCCGTCAGCCTTTAAGATATAACATTTCGATAAAATTTTAGCGTTAGGAAGTTAAAATCATTACAGCTTACCCTTGTATCTGAGTATAATTTTCTTGGTTTTCTAGATTTGCCCATCTAATGATATCAGTTTTATGTCTTTTAGAGTTAGATTTCCAAAAATACATTTTAACTTTAGTATCATCACCAGCCGTGGCAAACATGCACGAGTCAATTGGACTCCAAGAAACGGCAGAGCAACAACCTTTCGTGTGACCTTCAAGTTTTTCAACAAGTTGACCTGAATCCTTGTGCCAGATGTATACAGAACCTTCTGCAATCAAGTTAGACGATCAACTCAAATCCTAATACCTTCTTACCTTCACTGCCGACTATGACAAAACTTTCATTGGCACCTCCAAAAGATGCTCTAATCACAAAATTCCCTCCTTCTACACCGGACTTGAAATCTCTTATCGTATCTCGAGTCCCCAAGTCAATTATTTTGGCTTCTCCATCCAGTTTATTAACAAGAAGAGAACGGGAATTTTGACTCATACTAATAGATCCCATTTTGTACTTCAAGTCCAACTGATACTCAAGTTCCCTAGTAACGAAGTTGTATACATGGATTTTGGTTTCGTTATCGAGAGCTACCAAATAATGACCATTATTTGAGACTGCGAGATCTTGTACTCGATGAGTTTGTCCCCAATCGTAGACTAGTTGACCATTGATACTCCACTGACAAAGGTTGCGTTCTTTATCAAGACAGCCGGTGACAAATGTTTGACCATCAGGTGCCCAAACACAGCTACTGACTGGCTCACCAAATTTAGGAAGTTTTCGCCTAGGTGTGCCAGTCTAGAAATATAAGTTAAACTAAACCACATGTGATGAAACTGACTTACAGATGTATTCCATAACGTTGCATATCTATCGTTCGCGCATGTCACAATGAGAGAATCGTCAGGACTCCAAGCGACGGAACAAATTCCAGCGTCCGGTATTGTGAGAGTTTGAAGAATCTTAAATGATCCAATGTCGTAAATTATGCAAGATCCGTCTTCACCGCAACTTGCGAGTCTTTTTCCGTCGTTCGAGAATTTAACCTGCCAAACCTCGCCGGTATGACTATCAAGTTCAATAATAGGGTGCGATGGAAAAAATTTCTTATCGCACATGTGGTCCTGATATAGTGATGGCGAAGATGCAGTGTTGTGATAGAGACATTTAGAAATCTGATTCTTTTTGACTTGCTGAAGCAATATTGCTAGCCGATTCTCGGGTAATATTACTGAGGGTGAGACACATTCTACTTTGTTAACAGCCCGATGAGTAGAATTATTGTGACTGACTCACTTGATAAGTCCGATAGTAACTTGAATCGGGAATCTCCGTCCGCGCCATCCCATTCAGCTTTGAGTTTTAAATCCTCGGCAGATTGACACATGAGCAGACTGAGGTCTTGTTAGAAATTATGACAACCAATATGTATCTTTCGTGGAGAGTATAACAATACCTTGATAGAAAATGAAGTTTTCGGGTATCTTGATATAGTGGTGTTAGCTCCAGCCGTAAAACCATTAAGGCTTCTCCAGTGTCTCGTTTCTCAAGCAGTTCAAGATATTTTTGTTGCCGTAACCAGAATCGCATTTCACTCTTATTAATTCCATCTCGAAGCTTTAATCCTGGCCTAGGGTTCTCTGCTGGCCCGCCGAATAGTAGTAATTCTGCATGTATCCAATTGCCCTGTAAAACAGAGTTTCTAAATTCGACAACGGCGGGACTTTCTAGTTGGTAACCACTCTCTTGAATGAGTTCGTATGCACTTTTTTCATAACCCAGATCATTCAGAGCCTGAATCAATATCCTGGAGACCTCTTCACGGTCATGACCGAGATATGAAGATCTCAATTTGCTTTCAGCTTGGCCATTAATGTTCGTAGTACCATTCATCACCTTTGAAAAGTTCTGAGCTTTACCAGATAAACGTGATTTGTCGAGATAGTTGGAAGTGGATGCCTCAGTATCATTTGAATTTGGGAAAGCTTCATTACGAATACAGAACTCGTCCTCTCTGTTCATTCTAACACCTGTTCGTCTCCGTTTGACCCGACTCTCTGTAAGAGCTTCGTGGAAGTTAGGCTGAGAAATCACAGATGAGCCCCGGTTTGATGGTATATTACCAGCCGTAGGTGAATTTTCTAGAGATCGCCTTCTGCGTCCTAGGATCTGAAGAGTCGGCTGTGAGCTAGAGATTTGTTGTGACGAGCTATTCGCTTCTTGAGTAAAATTGATTTCTGGGGGTAAATCAGACTCTAATGATGGCTGAGAGTTGGCTGGTGCTGAGAGGTTGGTGCTATTAAGTAACGAAAGGGTATTCGGGATGGATAGGTCGTCGGAAATGGATGGGGATAAAGGAGGGAGGGAATTGTTTGCCAGGACGAATATTGCGGGAGTGCCGCTTGATCCACTGTGAACTCTCTAGGAATTTGGAGTAATAGGGGATCAAATGTCTTTTCAGAATTGGGGATTTTTTTATTTTACGGATTGTTCCTTCAGTTGCGGTTACTGTATTATCCCTCATCAGCAGGTAGATCAGTTCACTGATGTGTGCGGGGTGATGTTGTGATATAAATCTGTCAAGTCAAAGCCGGTAGGCGATTTCATTATCTCTGCATTTTGTACTAACGTTAGTGAACAAAGATTTTTACTGTAGTTTAGTTGATTTCAAGTTGTTTATCGTCTCCAAGATTTGAATTTTCAAAGGCGTCGCTGTTGTAGTTGTAAATCGGTGTCATCGATAGGTGTACTAGGTATACAGCTGGAGAATGATGGGTATTGCCAAGACCTCAGCTCCTATATCTCTAGACAGGGGTGACAAGTCTATGGCACGGACACAGGTTTTGCCCGAAGTCCAAACGCGGAATGTCAGTCAGGTACCTGAACTCCTAAACAATGCGGTACTTAATAATTCATCCAGCTCAAGACTATTTGTAAAAACTGTAATGAGCTACTTTCAGAAGATCCTCTTCATTCCTGCTCCGCGCATGAGTGGTGAGGGGCCGTAATTAACAAACTGCACATGTCACTTTGCATAACTAGGACTCGCTTAAACTAATGATGCTTTCCTCTTTTGGTAAGGCTGCGGATATCACCGATCATAGCTTAATCTGCTAAGGCTGCGGACCTCATCTCGGGTGGACGTCGTCGAAGTTCATCCAATATAATCCGGCATAATTTTTTTAGGAACCACAGAGGTCCCCTAGCACTTCATTCGAAATCCCCCAATTCGTCTAATTGATTCCGGCAACAAAAGATAATACTTAATCATTGTCATTTGAATTAGCACCGCTAAGGAGAACTTACATAATGGCACCAATCAAAGCTTCCCAGGATGACTCAAACGGGGAAGAACAGAAAGGTTCGTCCTTTAAAAAACAAAGTAAAAACCACTAACACCAGCTTGCAGGCTCAATATACTCGGTTTCTGGGTCTGTTGCAATGATTAGTCTCGCCAAACATCAGAAAACTAACAGCCCTTAGACCCGTCGTAGTGGCAGAAAATATGATTGGAGTGGCCATGTATGAACTAGTGAGTCATGAAAATTCTTTCTTGAAAGTTATCTCATTACATCACAGGTACGGGTGGGCCACGATAATCTTGTCGGAGAGGTCATTCGAATTGAGGCAGATAGAGCAACAATTCAGGTGTACGAAGAGACAGGTAATTCGCTCTCAAGTCTATTTAGACGAAAAGTCTAATCATACCTAATAGCCGGTGTAACTGTCGGGGATCCAGTATTACGAACTGGAAAGCCACTATCTGTCGAACTGGGACCTGGTCTGATGGAAACTATTTATGACGGTATCCAAAGGCCTCTAAAAGATATTGCAGAATCGTCAAAAAGCATTTATATTCCACGTGGTATCGCCGCACCAGCTCTCAATAGGGAGAAAGATTGGGATTTCAAACCACTCATGAAAACAGGAGACCACATCACCGGTGGAGATATTTGGGGTAGTGTTTACGAAAACTCCTTGCTCAGCGACCACAAGATCTTATTTCCACCTCGAGCTCGTGGTGTTATCACCAAAATTGCCGGGAAGGGCAGCTACAAGGTCGATCAAAAGATACTTGAAGTTGAATTTGATGGGAAAAAAACAGAATATAGCATGATGCATACATGGCCAGTTCGAGTTCCCAGACCATCTTCTGAAAAGCTTGCAGCAGATAAACCATTTATTGTTGGTCAACGCGTACTGGATGCTTTATTTCCTAGTGTGCAGGGCGGAACAGTAGCAATCCCAGGAGCCTTCGGCTGTGGGAAGACAGTCATTTCTCAATCCGTATCTAAATTTTCTAACAGTGATATTATTATATACGTTGGATGTGGAGAGCGTGGGAACGAAATGGCCGAAGTATTGATGGATTTTCCGGAGCTCTCGATTGATATAGACGGGCGAAAAGAGCCAATTATGAAACGCACAACATTAATCGCCAATACTTCTAATATGCCTGTGGCAGCCCGTGAGGCTTCTATCTATACAGGGATAACCGTTGCAGAATACTTTCGTGATCAAGGAAAAGATGTCGCCATGATGGCAGATTCCTCGTCCCGCTGGGCAGAAGCTCTTCGTGAGATCTCCGGAAGATTGGGAGAAATGCCTGCTGATCAGGGATTTCCTGCTTATCTTGGCGCCAAGCTTGCCAGCTTTTACGAACGTGCCGGTAAGGTACAAGCTTTAGGAAGTCCTGACAGAGAGGGTAGTGTCAGCATTGTTGGAGCTGTCAGTCCACCTGGTGGTGATTTCTCTGACCCTGTCACAAGCAGTACTCTCGGTATCGTTCAAGTCTTCTGGGGCCTCGACAAAAAACTCGCTCAACGGAAACATTTCCCTTCAATCAATACATCTGTTAGTTATAGTAAGTATACGACTGTCTTGGACAAGTTTTATGAAACAGATTACCCTGAATTCCCTAGGTTAAGAGACCGTATTAAACAACTACTATCAGATTCAGAGGAACTAGATCAGGTTGTTCAACTAGTCGGAAAATCTGCGCTTTCTGACCCTGACAAAATCACCCTGGATGTTGCTGCCCTGATCAAGGAGGATTTCTTGCAACAGAATGGGTACAGCGACTATGACCAGTTTTGCCCTATTTGGAAGACAGAATGGATGATGAAAGCAATGATGGGTTTCCACGATGAAGCTCAAAAAGCAATAGCACAGGGTCAAAGCTGGAATAAAGTACGAGAAGCTACCAGTCAGCTTCAATCGCAACTACGGAGTATGAAATTCGAAGTACCCAGTGAGGGCGAAGAAAAGATTGTTAAGAAGGTTCGTACGGTCGTGTACTTTCTAATCTAAATATCACTAATTCAAAATAGTACGAGGACTTAGTTCAAGCAATGACGGACAAGTTTGCTTCCGTTATGGACGAATGAACTGGCTTCCCATCATTAGTTTCAATCACTTTTGTTACCGACGAGCCTGGCTACGTAGCAGTTAATTGTTTCACGATAATGGGCATTTGAGACGTGATTGATTACTTAGCTTACGGTTTAATTTTATTTAGTTGAATTATTTCGATATTTAGAGATAGAAACTATGAAGATGTGTCCAGATTCAAAGATCAATGTCCCATGATTAAAAGCCTATTGCGCGTAGTTTTCGTTAGCGGTCAACCTCGTCGGACCACGGAATTGATTGTTGGGATCCGGCCTTTTCTATCGTACGTGCCGCAGCCTTGCATGCTCGTGCAATAATATCTCTCGTGTTACCTTCCTTTTTAACTATAGAAATAGCATATGCGCCAACAAAAGTATCACCAGCTGCAGTAGTGTCTACAACTGTCTCTACCGCAGCAGCAGGGACAAGCTCCCCATCCAGAAAGTCTTCGTTTGCAAAGAAAGCTCCTTTTGCTCCTAAAGTTACTACGACATTCTTTACTCCTTTCGCTATGAATTCTCTTGTGACATTTGCCCAGTTGAAATCTGCTCGCTCGAATTCCGCCAAGGAGCGACCACTTAAGGTCGCGGCTTCTGTTTCATTCATAATTAAATGAGTGAGCCCCTCGTATGCTTCCGTAGGAAGAAGTACCGCAGGTGCAGGATTGAGAAGTATATCAACTTTTGCTATCATCGCGGTCTTAATAACTTGAAGGACGGTGGAAAGCGGGATTTCTAGTTGTAGCAATATGAGATTTGGTAGTGGGGTCCCAAGTGATTTGGCTATTTTGAAATCCTCTGCGACCAAAGCAAAGTTTGCTCCTGGACTTAGCAAAATTCGATTCTCCCCCGTGTCTTTTTCGACGAGAATAACGGCCACACCTGTGGGCTGTCTATCGACGATCATGACCTCTGATGTATCAATACTACATCTTGACATAAAAGAAATTATCTGAGTACCAAAATTATCTGCCCCTATCGCTCCAATAAACTTAACGATAATATCTGGAGTAGGGGTAAGATGGGGTTCAAACGTTGGTTTGGGACGAGAAAGTCGAGCGCATGCGGTAGCTTGATTTCCACCTTTTCCTCCGGGGCCAGCTGAGAAAGAACTAGCTGTAATAGTTTCGCCACCAGACGGTATGCGTGGGGTGAGGGTCACGAGGTCAATATTCAGAGATCCTATGACAGTGATAATGTTGGCTGTATTCATTTTATTTGTGTTGGGACCAGCGTTAGTTAGAAATTTTGGGTTTGACCTCGTGGGAACTTTTGGTAGCTTGTTTGATGATGTACTACTTTGGAGCATGACTTGAGTCTAGGCTAAACAGCAAGGAATACATTTTTTTGTGGCAATTTTAGTCAATTTTACTAAAAAGTTGCCCCGCGAAAAAGTACTATATATTGTTCGTATATGCATGAAAGTGATGTTATCTAACTTTCGGCAACCCACAAGGTGAGAGTGCAGTCAGTGGCGGAGAGAATCCAAATCCTTTGTACTTCACAACAGCATTCAATAGGCTATGTCTAGTCGAAGAATAAGTGTGTCTGTGGGTTTATTGTCCTTTTATGTCTATGACTCTTTGAGAACATGTATGTCATTTTGGCTTGAAGGCCGGGAGTATCTATGCTTCGGGTAGTGTACTCCTTTCTATGCCTCCTTCACAACTTCTTTCCAGCAATGAAACCCCCACATGGTTTGGATGGTGCAGTGGTACACCATCCGGGCCATTCTTCCAAGTAGATACTGGGTAGCTTGAACACCTAACCCATTCGAGACAGGAGAAAGCTGGTTCGAATCCAGTCAGACCCACACACCACTCTCTCTCGCGGTGATATTGTTGTTCTGGGATGATGGAAGCACACTTGGATAACCACAGTTTTTCACGCTTTTCCCTGTGGTGGGTATGCAAGGGAAAAGGTTACACGCCGTAAGGGTTAACCTCGAGTGGTATCTGCGAATGAAATCTGAGTGTGAGTGTTCTATATGTCAAGTTGAGTCATCCTACTTAAAGTACATATCTTCCGATAAAAACCTGCGTGGGCCTGAAGGCGCCAAATCGGGGAAATGAATTACATATATATAATACCCCCACAGGTCGAGGGACTGTTCTCAACACATATCAGTGGTGTCCCCTACGAAGCTCCAGCTCTTACTGTAGAGTCTGCAGAGTCGAGATTGAGTAAGAAAGTCCTCAATTCCACGAGGATTCCCAACCGCTTTCGCCGTCTATATCGTCTTCATCTTGTGGCCTCTGATTGATCAGTTTATGATCACAATGATTTCACGCAGGTGTCTCGTGGCTCCGACTAATCAACAATATAATGAGTAGAGCTTGAGACTAATAATACGTGAATTGATTTCTATAATACAGGATCGCCAATTTAGTTAAATATTTCCCCCGCACCACGTGAGCCAATCAACAGCGCACAATGTGCACGGTCGGGTTTCCATCAATTGGGATCCGCAATCTCTCAACACATTCCCCTGTCACCATTATCACGAAGCTAACCATAATCAGATCAGGTGGTAGGGTCGGAGCCCTGCTCATCTCCAACCCTTGATCATGGAGGAAAAGCCATCCGATGAGTTTCTGGAGCGTACCCAGCACCCGATACGGAAATGGTAGATTGGATCAAGTCGACCTCGACTGTTACAAAGAAGGGAGATATAGATGAATGTGCGCAGCTCATGTGGTCCCGGTGTCTTGGCCTCGCCTGGCTGGGGCTGTATGTTTTTTGAGACTTTTTTTCGCGCACGCAGTTTCCATTGCTATCATTTTACTTTTTGGATAGAAGGTTTCGTGGAAGAGGTGGCTGAATTCCACGGGTAAACACTGAGCGGAATGGCTATTCATCACGGGCAATATATCAATGATCTTACAAATAATAAAAGAGGCTAGAGCACCGTACAAGGTGTGGCCTGAATCAGAGAGGCAAATGTGCTAGATGGTCGAAGACTTAAGAAGTGCAACAAACATACATTTCTCTCCCCCCTCTCCAGCCTTCGAAACGTTTCTCATTTCCAGGTGTATAGTTGCAGGGAAATATCTCAAGAACCACTGAGTGCGGGGCTCTCCTATGACGAAGAGGCCGGCCAGCCGGCCGCAGCAGGCCTGTGTATACCTAAGAGTGTCTCTCAACCTTCCTAGCCTCTTCTTCACTCCTCCCCTGATTCAAGCCGCAGGACAAATCGAAGGCCATGAAAGGATGATAAAAAAATCTTGGTCGAGAGTGACTGTCTTGAAGGAGCCTGGCCTAGCATCCAAAAGTCGTTACGGACGTGGGGTCGTCGGATCACTCATATATTTCAGATGCCCTCCTGGCTATTATGTTCAGAATTTAAGACTAGTAGGGACGGTATTGTAGACGAGCCGAAATCTGCTTTCTTGAGGATGGAACGTTCTTTTTCTTTGCTTTCGTGGGCTTTTTGTTCGGCTGCCGGTGGGTAGCACATGTTGCGATATAACGAGGGCTTCTCTGACTACCGTTGTAGCGTTTTGTACCGTATTATCTTTCCTCATTCCCAGCATCATTATCACCGTCTTGGTCGTCTTGTGTGTTATCGGAAGCGTGTCTTTGACGGGGGGGGGACAACTCAGCTCAAAGTTCATGAGGTGTTACTCAATCTCGGCTCTGCAGACTCTACAGTGAGAGCTGGAGGTTCGTAAGGAACACCACTGACAGGAGTTGAGAATAGTTACCCGGTGAATAAGTTAAATAGTGCAAACGAACACCGTTTTTTAATTGGTCTACGGGTTTTATTGAAACAGTGCGGCCTGTCGCACCAGAAGCCGCAGAAGTGACAAAGAGCTTTCGGTGGCTGGGATTTGGAGCTCAAGCCACATACACACGCCTTGTCTCCCGACGCCATCAATAGGAGAGCAGTAGTTCTCCCCACATAACATAAAGCTTACACTTCAGCACCGCACTTACTATCGTCAATCTTATATGATCCTGAATTCTTGATTTATTTTAAAGTCATTGAACTCTTCTGTTTCCTTCACTATGTCAGCGCCCGGGCAAGGCGGCATCTCTGATCCCGGCCTAATAACGTCAGTATCCTTTAGGCTCTAAAATTATCTTCATCAAGCTCACTTAGTTTTCAGGCTAGTAAATAAATTACAAGATGTGTTCACCACAGTTGGGGTTCAAAATCCCATCGACCTGCCGCAGATTGTTGTTGTGGGAAGTCAGTCTAGTGGAAAAAGTTCAGTACTAGAAAACATAGTTGGCCGAGACTTGTAAGCTTAGCATACGTACGAAGGAATAATAGTTTTAACCAAGAATTTAGCTTGCCTAGGGGAACTGGCATTGTAACTCGACGCCCACTTGTGCTTCAACTGATTAATCGCCAGCCCGCCGCGAAGACGAACGGAACTGCCGAAGAAATAGTTGTAGGAGGAGACAAAGAAGCTAATGCAGATGAATGGGGTGAATTTCTTCACATACCTGGCCAAAAATTTCATGACTTTCATCGCATACGAGACGAAATCGTAAAAGAGACAGAAGCTAAGACTGGTCGTAATGCTGGAATCTCGCCTGCGCCTATCAACCTCAGAATATACTCACCAAATGTCCTGACTCTAACTTTGGTCGATTTACCTGGCTTGACTAAAGTGCCTGTAGGCGATCAACCTAGGGATATAGAGCGACAAATAAGGGAAATGGTTCTCAAGCAGATAAGCAAACCGAATGCCATTATTTTAGCAGTTACAGGTGCTAACACAGATCTCGCTAATTCTGATGGTCTCAAACTTGCGCGCGAAGTAGATCCTGAGGGCCAAAGAACAATAGGTGTTCTAACGAAGGTCGATTTGATGGATGATGGTACTGACGTTGTAGATATTCTAGCTGGAAGAATTATTCCTCTACGACTGGGATATGTTCCGGTGGTAAACAGAGGACAGAGAGACATTGATAATAAGAAAGTCATTACCGAGGCTCTGGATAGCGAAAAGAACTTCTTTGAAAGCCACAAAGCTTATCGAAATAAGAGCTCATACTGCGGCACTCCTTATTTGGCAAGAAAGCTTAACCTTATTCTGATGATGCATATCAAACAAACTTTGCCTGACATTAAAGCGCGCATATCTGCATCGCTACAAAAATATACCGTGGAACTAGCAGGACTTGGTGATTCAATGCTAGGAAATAGTGCAAATATCGTGCTCAACATTATCACTGAGTTTTCTAATGAATGGCGCACTGTACTTGACGGGAATAACACAGAACTATCAAGTGTTGAGCTTTCTGGCGGTGCTAGAATTAGTTTCGTATTTCACGAACTATATGCAAACGGCATTAAAGCTGTGGACCCCTTCGATCAAGTCAAAGATATTGACATAAGAACGATTCTATATAATTCATCGGGCTCTTCTCCGGCGCTTTTCGTCGGCACTACTGCTTTCGAGCTGATTGTTAAGCAGCAGATAAAACGTCTGGAAGACCCTAGCTTAAAATGTGTCTCGCTAGTTTACGACGAGCTAGTCCGGATTCTTTCGCAGCTACTCGGCAAGCAGCTTTTTCGGAGATATCCGGGATTAAAAGAGAAATTTCATATGGTGGTCATCAACTTTTTTAAGAAGGTAATGGAGCCAACGAATAAACTCGTGAAAGATCTTGTAGCAATGGAATCTTGCTACATTAATACCGGACATCCTGACTTCCTTAATGGTCACCGCGCAATGGCAATTGTTAATGAGCGCCATTCAGCTACAAAACCTGTGCAAGTTGATCCGAAGACCGGTAAACCCATTAACACAGCAACTATTGCAGCTCAGATCACCACTCCTAACCCAGATCCTCTAAACGACTCCAATGGCGGCTTCTTTGGGAGCTTCTTTGCATCAAAAAATAAGAAGAAGATGGCTGCCATGGAGGCTCCACCGCCGATGCTAAAAGCCTCTGGCAACTTGTCCGAAAGAGAGGGTATTGAAGTTGAAGTTATTAGTAAGCATATACTCACATTTTATTCCTAGATTCTAACTAAAAAAGAGCTCCTAATTACATCATACTACAATATAGTCAGACGGACCATGATTGATATGGTGCCTAAAGCAATAATGCTCAACCTTGTTCAGTACACCAAAGATGAAATGCAGAGAGAACTGTTAGAAAATATGTACCGAACAGATACTCTTGAAGAACTTCTAAAAGAGAGTGACTACACGGTGCGTAGACGTAAGGAATGTCAACAGATGGTTGAATCATTATCACGCGCTAGTGAGATTGTTAGTCAAGTACAGTAGAATATTTTGATGGAAATACTGCAAACACAAACAAGGTCCGCTTGATGCTATAATAAGAATATCAGGAAAGCTTTTGAAAATTACGACGAAGCGTCCTATGTTTGGTACAATCCCTTTTCAACATCGGCTAAGCTCTGCTACGACAAAATTCAATCTTCTAGCAGATACACTGGCGCATATCTACAAAGATGTGTTGCGCCGAAAAACGGGACCTATTTCGATTTACTTATCCTTTTCGAGCAGCTCAGGGGTATTAAGGCGTGTTAATTTGCAAATATGATTCACAATGTAAACAAAAATCGCAGCACAAGATCAGCAAAACTAATGCAAATAACTGATCCTTTAGCTAAATTCTGGTATCTACTCAAGTGGCCCTTATATTATTTAAAACCACCTGATACTAAGAGAAATAGGATATTTAATAATTCTTGTAAACTGTAAGAAGCGGGTGAAAATTATTCTTTCACAAAAACTGTAGTATCATAAAATCGAGCACACTCCTTGAATTCTTTTCAAACTTTGTATGTGTGTAAGAGACACATAGATTGAAAAGAGTAAGAAAACTGAGGATAATATCAATCCCTTATTAAAATTGGATTATTAGGTAAGCGGCATTAGATCTGACTATGGGTAATTGGAATACAATGGGAACTCGATGAAACAAATTGATTCTGTGAGGCTCTTTTCTGTCTTTATAACGTTTTAGTGGAGCACATTATATCACGTGATTAACTCTACAAACACATCTAATTATTAAATCCGCTCAACAAAAGTTTCTTCGATGAGGTGCCCCATTACGTCTTCCCCAAAGTTAAGATATATCTCGTGTCTCAATTTTCCTACTTTTCATCGTCCCAAGACGTCAAGATACCCCCCGTGAGGCGTAGAATTCCTGCGACACTCGTGTCCCCTGATCGATTTGTCTCGCGCTCAGCCAAACGTGCGAGGCCTCGCCCTCCACTTCCAAATGTTCAGTAGGTAGTTATCCTAGCAGCCGCAAATGAGAAGTAATAATCTCCAGCTGAACCCATCTACATGGACTCAGAAGACGAGTTCATGGATACCGGATTGGAAAATTAATATCTTTCCAACTTTCCCTCTGAAAACCTTTCTCTCTCACCAACGCCGGCTTCCGTACTGGTAGCAATTACCCAACTGCATCCCCAAAAAAACTCTGAAAAGAGATTCTGCCCAGGGTATCTCTAGCTCCATTCACGCGTCCACCAAAGACAACGTCGCAATTGAGCAAGAACCTACCTCAACTCTCCCGCGATCTAGCAAGCGAACAACTTCGAGTATTATCGAACACCCCTCGGCAGCTATGACAAATAACATAGCTGCTTCATTGTTGGCCTGGCATGATGCTGGAGCCCAACATCTTAATGGTCTACCGCCAATAGTTGCTGCGGACCTCAAGGCTATCGTGACACGAAGCGCAGTTCGAGTCATTGCAGGCCTCCCTGTCTTCGAGCAGTCTCAAACTGCTTCATATGTAAAATTTAGCGCACAGCTAGCCCCAAAATCGTAACCGCCCGCAAGTTCTTCTTACGCAAATGCTGTGAAGAGAAACTTGACCATGCCTATACACCCTCCAAATGCTGCCCCAGGATTACCACTTCAAAAAAGACATAGGCAGGACTCTTGAGTTATGATACGCCTAGCGCCCGAACACCCTCTAAGATACCAAGATTCTCTTCTGGTCCGTACCAAGCTGAGAAGCTTTCTTGAAAGACCGGAACAAATCAAGGACATCAGGTCGGTCCCTTCTGAAAAAGGCCTCGTGGCCCCTTCATCCGATCAAAACCCCGAACTCATGCAAGCAGCTCTTGCCCTATAGCCCGCTACAGGAGTTGTGCCCATCTAAATAAAGGAGACACGAGAGGGCTTTCTCCTCAGCCCAGTCCCTAAATATGGGTACAATGCTTCTGGATCCCCCGAAACCATTTCAAATGCTGACATCCGGGAAGAACTCACAACGACAAAAATCGACACAAAATCGATTTTTTCTATCAGCTGTACACGTGATTCTCTGACATCTTAAGAATGGGAAGGTACCCTCTGTTAGAAATTCAGACTATGTGTGTCTGAAGTTTCCCCATGATTAGAACAACTAAGATTCTCCCACATGACTCACAACCTGACTCATGACCTAGATGATTGATATCTCCTTTACTGAGCATGTTTGATGCTTGAGACTCGACTAGTGCATGGTATGGGCTGATACTCGTGTAGGCTTTCATCCACCGACCCTGACCCCATACTCATGTTGTATACTGTCGTGCGATTCATTGTCATTGTTAGAGTATGGAACGAGTGATGGATGGTATCTAGTTTGGATTTGGTGTATCAAGTATACATGTATATAAGCTGTCTAGGAATCACCAAGACAGATAATCTAATCAATTCAATTTATTTAAACCATCTTTTATTTCTCTACAGTATATCACATTTTCTACCGATTCATATCATTATTATTCTATTCATAAAATCGCGCCCATATTCTTTGAGCCGCCTTACTCATCGGACCCATATCGATTTTCCAACACTACCATACCACACCAATAGCAGCACTTCTACGTAAAGCTGGCTGGGGCCCAGCTCAGACGTGGCTTAACAGAATTCACAGCCGTCTAGCGGTTCGAATTGCTGCAACTGACCCCTATCACCCTCTTCGTAGGCGTTGGAACACTAGTCGTATGCGCTGGATCCGCCAGAGGATTTCACTAGAACTTTCCGAAGATACCATCCCCCCACCATGGTCCGCACCTCGTGAGGAAAAGCTTATCGAAATTGGGGCTGTAGGCAGACTCTCGGGATCAAATTCCTTCAAACAGTGGCAGGCTATTCGAACCATTCTAGAATTATTCGTATTTTCAGATGGAGCTCTCATAGCAGACGGAGCAGGCGCGGGACACGTCATCTATCGAGGTCTTACGCAGAAGATTGGGCGAGTATCACTCCCTCTAGGAAACTCGGTAGAGGTCTATGATGCTGAAATTGCCGGGGCCACGGAAGCCCTTACCGAAGCACTCCTCAACCCAATGGCTTTCTATGCCTCTAACGTCGCCATTTGCCTTGAAAGCCAGGAGGCCGTTCTCCGTTTTCTATCTGATGTTCCCACAACGTCTGGTTCCGCGAAAATATTTCTCTTTCGCAAGCTTGCAATGAACTGGAAAAGAAGGTCACGCGGCCAAAACACAACGCTTGAGGAAGTGGCCATCCGATGGTGCCCGGGCCACGCAGGTATTCTGGGAAACAAAGCAGGCGACGCGCTTGCCAAAGCTGCTTGTGCGGCTCCAGCTCTACACTTGGTATTCTCTATTGCGAGGGCAAGAAGGGAAGTCAAAGCCCTGTATGAGGCTTCTATTGCACTTTACTGGGCAGAAAATTCTCCATCTAGATATAAAGAATTAGGAATTGGTCCTAATATTAAGATTACTGCCAAGCTCGCCTGTATAGGGCGACGCACACTAGGATATCTATTAGCTGCGCGGTCTGGACATGGCGATTTCGCAGACTATCACCGACGCTTTCAGTACGAAAACGCCATCCTTATCTACTCGTGCGGAGAAGAGGAGTCCCACGACCACTTTTTCTAATGCCATCTTGGGCAGTACCAGGTACAGCTCCACAGAGCACAGAATCCTAGTCCCAGCATATCTTGGGCACTCGCTTCGGCAGAGGGAGTTCGCGCATATAATAGCTGGGTGCGTGTCACAAATTTGTTTGGAAAAGCACAACAAGTCTGAGCGAGAGGGAGTCATGTGATTCAACCAATTCCCCCCTTCCATATTGTGTTGGAATAGCATCTCTAGCTTGGTTTACTTGGAGTTGGTGATTCTTGGTTTATATGCAAACAATTTCCTTCGTGTTGTGGATTTCGTCATTTGGATAATACTTTATCCGAACGCAACATAGTTAAGATCTTGTAGCATCATTGTAAACTAAATAACAAATGAACAATGAATGCGTATTTCTTCTGAACAATAGTTCGAAATACTTACACAAGTACTCTCATAACTTTAAGTGAACTAATAGACTTTTAGTGTATGATCTTTGTCATACCAATACTGATCAGTGGTTGAACTGACAAGTCTCGTCATACAACCACAGAACAGCAAGGTATTCCACTAGGGAAAGTGTTGACGCGGTTAGGCTCAACATTTAGACAAAGAAGCGACGCTTCAGATTAATAGATCTGGTAGCGTGCAAATGAGAGTGTAGTCTGCGGTCAGGCGACAAATCTCTTCGGGGCTAAACAACGTTTAAAGGGGGTGACAGCTAATCAGTCCTAACTCTTCAGTTTAATCTTAGTTTTGCCTGCGTCCATTACGCACAACAATTTCATGGGGTCAACCTCAATCTATCCATACAATCAGTTATCGAGGTTCAAAGTTAACAAGTTCCTAGACTAACAAAGTCCTGTCTCTTCACCCGAACCGAATCTGATAACTTTGCGACGAGATGGCCGACGTTCGAAACAAAGCATGGGTAGCAACCCTCATTGACATCAAGCTTAGTGGTCAAGAAATTAATGTATACAAGGAAGATATCATATCACCTGTACTCATAAACACGCACATAGTCGACTCTCTCGAATTCTATGAATCCAGCAAAAAGTTCGACAGGGCACTATTGAACCAATTCAAGGAAGATTTTGAAGGCTGGACGGTCAGTAGATTCAAGATTGCCAATAAGAACATTTGCAGGGAGCTCAAAGATCGTCTCAAGAATAGCGGCGTTTATTTTTGTGGTCGAGGTCAAGTGTCAGACAAACTATTCCAATTGCTCAAATGTGATGAGTGTCCAGAATGGCTCAGAGATGAACTTGAATTGCACTTAGAAAAAGACAATGATTTTAAGTCCCGACGTCATAATCCTAATTCGATGGGCAATAAGATTTCATCTTGCAAATTCGACAATCAAACACACCACAACCTGCCTCCATTCCGAAACTAGAGCCCTTTACCGAAAACATTCCTGCCCTCAAGTTGGAACCATATCCATGACAAGCTTACCCCCCAATATCCAACCAACCCTCTCAACCATCAGATTTCTCTCAACTACGTAATAATTTTAGCCAACCACACACAAGATTAGGCATAGAAAAGGTATTGATGGATCTTGGGAAACTTTACTTTGACTCAAACAACAAGTTTGGCGGGAACCACTACAATGTGCTGGATGCAAAGCTAAGGATATTTTATGATATGTGTGATAAAGTTGGAATTACGCCTGACCTATACGGTACAGCTTACTCTACCATGCTCAAGGATAAAG